ACCCCCTAATTACAGCACAAATGTCCTAACCCAGCAAACATGTCCAGGTGGGGCCCATATGGGCCTCAATTGGGCCAGATGGGCTTCAGCTGAGTATGGGCTCAGAATGGGCTCTGTTGTTGGGACCCATGTGGGCAACCCATGGGCAGTAGATGGGCTAAACCAAGCATGGCCAATGTGGGCTCCAGTTGGGCTGTTGGGATCTGGAGAAGTACCAACCTTCTCCAGCAGAGTGCGTCGTGGGTCTCCTGGGCTGGAGCCCTCCTGCACACCTGGATCTCGTCAGCCCATCAGGAGAACTGCTCTACTTAAGCAGCTGCCAGACCTTCCTTCAACGCCGCAGTGTTGACCAAGTTTGGTTAGCAAACCTGAGCCTCTGATAACTACTAGAACCTTTGCCTTAGAGAAACCCAATTCTAACCTGCCTCTGTCTTCTCGCTCCTAGGAAACCTGTCTCTTGTCTGAAGCTCTGGATGAGCTTAGCCTGTTACCTGCCTGCCTGCCCTAGAGAGCCAAACCTGAAGATCTCACTCTGGAATCCATCTGCTGCTCTCAGGGAAAGAGCTGATCAGTTAAACCAAGGTCTGTCACTGGAAAGTCAGAAGCTAGACGCTGCAGCTGCTGAGCACTCTGCTGAACCAACAGTCTCTGGACCCAACCGGTTCCCTCTCTCAGAAAAGAAAGCCTGGACCTCTTCAAGGTATTTCCAGAAACATCTGAAACTCAACAATTCACCTGTTTAACTGGTTAATCAAACTATCCGTCTCTGCAGACGCCAGAGAATCCTGCCCGGACCAGTTTCCTGAATCCAGCCAATGATTATTATTGTGAAAACTTTCAATAAACTCTGTTGAACTTTTTATCAGTCTCCAGTGGTGTTCTGCATGTGGGTTTAATCCCTAAACCAACCATGACATGGGCACCATTTACAAATTCAAAATTGGTGAAATCAGACATGTTATATGTTGCTCCCATCCCAGAGGGTTTCCCCCTAAAGACAGTTAGGGAGGTCGAAGTAATGGAGGAAAAACTGTCTAACCCAAGCTTCGTGCCTGAACTGGTATGTATGTAAAGTCTAGGCTAGTGAAATTTCATTCAGTTTTATTGGGGGGCTAGCAGTAAATCTGATCTGAAACTACCCAAGTGTGCTCACAATAGAGCTGCAACAATTCATCAATAAATTGAACAGTAATCAAGTATTCAATTAATTGGCAACTATAATCACTTTAAGTGATTTTTTTAGGCAAAAAAAGTACTAATTCTCTGCTTTCAGCTTCATAAACGTGAATATTTCTTTTTTGTTTGTTTATTCATAGCAATAAACTGAGTATCTCTTTGTTTTATGGACAGAACAAGAGATTTGGGAAACACTGACATTTCTCAAAACATTTTTACATTTTAGCAACCAATCAATTAATTGTTGAAATAATCAATAGATTAATCGACAGTGTAAATAATCTAGACCCAGAGTTTGTCTTTCTGTCGGGTTTACTCCAGTGAGCTATAAAAATTTATTTGCTTTGTACTGGCTTTGTTCCTCCTTAGGTCACAGCAGTGGCAGACATTGGAGGGAGGACTGTGGATGAGCCCACTAGACGCATGATGGTCATCATGGACCATGGCCTGTCAAGGCAGTACAACTTTATGGACCAGAATGGAAAATGGGAATTCAGGACTTTAAAGCTGTAATGATATTAATAAGCTGTAATAATATTTGGTAAGTGTATAACTGTAATATAGTAACTTTGGGATATTTGTGTCTGTTGAGGGAAATGTATACTCATTTTAGACTGGCCTTGGCCAGTCAGCATTGAATTTTAATCTTTTTTTCTTTTCTTTTCCCAGTTCATTCTGACGTTTTCAGTGTCCAAATGGCTGATCGGATCAAGGGACAGGGGAGGCAATAGAAAGGCCCGACAGGTTCCTCCTTCTCTCCCTATCTCCCACTAGTTGATAGACCATGTTGATGGACCATGTCAGCCCCCCACCTACAGGTGCTGACCTGGTGCAGGAAGAACAACCTGGACCTCAACACTCTAAAAACAGTGGAGATGGTCGTGGACTTCAGAAAGAACGCAGCTCCATTTACCCCCTCAACCTCTGTGAATCCACACTGTGGAGCCTCTTCGCTTCCTGGGAACTATCATCTCCCAGGACCTAAAATGGGAGCTGAACATCAACTTCCTGTGGCAGCTGAAGAAATTCAACCTGCCAAAGGATGATGATGATGGTGCAGTTCTCCTCCATCATTGAGTCCATCCTCACCTCCACCATTAATTCAATTCAATTCAATTCAATTCAGTTTATTTATATAGCGCCAAATTCACAACACATGTCATCTCAAGGCACTTTACAGTTCAACCAGATCAAATTGATACAAAGTTTTCTATCTAAGGAAAACCAGTTGATTGCATTGACTCATTGACTCAAATACAATCCCCCACACTAAGCATGCTTGTAGCGACAGTGGAGAGGAAAAACTCCCTTTTAACAGGAAGAAACCTCCAGCAGAACCAGGCTCAGTGTGAGCGGCCATCTGCCGAGGCCGACTGGGGTTCAAGGAGACAGAAGCAGAGATACAAAAAGCAGCTGTAAAAGGCGGCCCCGTCCAGGAAACACACAGCCAGGCAGACGAGCTCCAAGGCAGCATTACATCTGATACACTGGTGCCACCGACAAGGGCAGACTGCAGCGTGTCATCCAGTCTGCAGAGAAGGTGATTGGCTAAAATCTTCCATCTCTCCAGGACCTGAACGCCTGAACTATAACCTGGAAAAATGTGATTTCTTTACATACCATATTAATAGCAGGTGCAAAGAAAGCTATAACTCGCAGGTGGCTTGATGCGGAATCCTGTTCGGAGTGGAAGGACATAATTGAGAGTGAGAGAGAAAGACTTTTCATTAACCTCTTACACCCTCAGGGGGTATAAATACATTTCTGCCTGACAAAAACACACAAAAGTAAATCACTTATAGCCTCATAGCTATTAGATTTAAGAAGAAACTTTTGGTACGTCTGTAAAGGTAAGATGTCATAGAATGGTTTTCTGGTGTCAGCACCATTGTAGCTTTGACCCTGCCTGAAATATTAGGGACAAAATACAAAATATTTTGCATTTTTTGAGCCTCGCCAAAATTTTCTTTGAAATAAACATTGCAAAACACTACCAAAATATTATTTATAGCACAAAAAAGTATTACAGATTTTTAAATCTAAATGTTGTGTAAAAATATACCAAATTTGGACTCAATCAGATTAATCATATTTATTTTAGAATGGTATTAGTGAGAAATGTCTTGGGCGGAGAGGCCATTTTGGCACATTTATCCAAAAATGTCACCAAACTGTGCCAAATGTGTTTTTTACATCAATACTGGGGGTCACGTAGCAGCTGGTGGGTTCGTAGGGTTCAGGGGTTAAGATTTGCCACTTCTAAATACAATAAATATCAGAATAAATGTAACATTCATCGGAACTTCACACCAAAGTAATGTAATTACTTTTTTCCTTTTTGTGATTATTATTCAACTGCTCCTGTCAAACTAAGAAAAACTGTTTTTCTTGGAGGGGCGTCCAATGTTTAAAAGTTATAGATGTTTCTATAACTTTCTACAATAGGTATATTTGCATTTTAATCATTTTATTTACTTTGTTCTTTTATGTCAGAGCCTCCACGGGACCCACTAGAACATTGGGGCAAGTAAAAGTGAAGTATAAAAATATTCTACAAAATTGTAGCCTTTAATTATAATTTATTAAAAAAAGCCACTTTTTTCTCTTTTTAAAAGCCAATGTTGAATTAGGAATGGAAGATTATTATTATTGGTTTCTCTCTCCATATAGGGGATACAGCTAAAATTACAGTTTTAAAGACCAATAGACAAAAAATAATTAAATAAAACTGACTTATCCAATATGTTGCTCCCTAATTACATTTTCAGCAAAATACCTACCTTAAAATTTAATAAGTTGGATTTGTTTAAGATTCTGATCATAACATTGTAAGGATCTAGATTACCAGTCCATGCCTGGCCTCAGTTGAATACTTTTAGGAACAGTTTGAAGGGTTAGCGCTGCATTTGTTTTTCTATCTGTGGCCAAACATTTATTGCACAAAATCATAAGACATTGGCCTGAGCTATTTCATAAGATCTGTTTTTTTCAGAAAAAATTTAGCTTTTGGAACGAGCTTGCTCGTCCCAATTTACCCTTGTTTCCGATTGGTGGCGGTAATGCACCAAGTTGCTCATTTGCAACCGCCATAAAAAGATAACGACGAAGAGAGGGGAAGAAAACCTGCGATAAAGGGGGTTAAACCGCGCTCATCAGTTTAATTGGCGCGTTCCACTTGAATTACGGACTTCATATTTGCCACAGAGGAAGGTTGGACCAGAACATGGGTATGAAAAACTTTTCAAACAATGTTTATTTTATTTAATGAAATAAGGTGATGTAGACACTTTTATACGAAGGTGGACATGTGTTTCAGAATATCTGGGGGTCTGATGGAGAGGACGAGATATTACTAAAAGGAGGGATCTGATGGAATTCCTCATTGGGAAAGGGTACTGCTGTTGGGAGCTGGAGAAAATCCCATCTTTCTCCAGCAGAGTCCGCCGTGGATCCTCTGAGGGAGCCTCCTGCACAGCTGCAGCTCATCAAGATCATCAGAGGATCCACTACATAAGCTGTCTTCAGACCTTGCCTCAACGCCGCAGTGTTGTTCCAGTTGGTCAGCGCTAAAGCCTTGATCTCAGTGATTATACCTTGACTCTACCCCTAGTTGGATTCTAATCTCTGTTTCTGTGCCTCTAGGAAACTCGTGCTTCCTCCGTGAAAGCTCTGGAAGAGCTAACCTGCCGAGCCGACCCTCAGAGCCAAACCCTGAAGATTCTCAGACAACCTACAAGCAGCTCTGGGCTAGAGCTGGGAAACCAAGGCCAAGGTCTGCTCAAGCTAGACGTGAGACGCTGAAGCAGCTAACGGACTCTGCTACTAAATCCTTCTCCAGAACCAACAGTTGCTCTCCCAAAGAGAACCTCAAGAACCCTCAAGGTACTATCTGTGCACCATTGGAGACCAAACCCCGTCAACAGTCCTTAACTGTGCTGTCTCTCACGCAGACTCCGGTGAAACCAGAATCCAGGCCCGAACCAGCCTTCTGCATATTCAGTGTGATTGTGCAGATAAACTTGTTAAACTTTTCATCCTGTGTCCGTCAGTGGTGTTCTGCATCTTTGGGTCTCCATTAGAGAACCGATCATGACAACTGCTTGGCCACAGATTATAGATTGTGGATGTTGTCTGCTCTGCCTGCTGTCATAATTGTAAAGACTTTTGGTATTTTGTGTTTGTTGTGATGTGTACTATTTGAGTTTCTGTCAGGAAATGTTATGTTTTGTAAGATTTATAAAATGGTTAAATAAAAAGTTAAAAAAAAAAGAAATAAGGTGATGTAAATAGTTGTGTGTTAATGTCCAGCTAAGTTATAAAATACAAAAAAGCCGAATTAACAGCTTAAAGTTAAAAAACAAAGACGCATACATATATTAAAGTTTTATCTAATATAATACTTTTTTTCTTGCTGAAAGCACGATGGTACGGTTTGCAGTGGTACAGTTTTAGACAGCTAATTTTTAATAAGGGGGTTGTGAATTGGCTAAGGCATGATGTATATTATTACTATTAAGACTTATATAGTCCTGCTTTTCTTTACAGTCATTATCTGTAAAGGTTAGTGGCATATGGCAATTTGAATCAAGGTACGAGAGGGGGGTGGTCATCTTAGCAATTTCCCTCTTTGTCGCTCTCACTGCCCGATCTGTACCGGTGGCACCAGGTGTACCATCAGCTTAGTTGCGCATGCGCAAGCATAACCACCGGCTCGCCGTGCTCAATTAGTTTGAAAAAGACCGGGAAAGTTTTTTCTTTTTTTTATATATATATATATATATATATATATATACACTCACCGGCCACTTTATTAGGTACCCCATGCTAGTAACGGGTTGGACCCCCTTTTGCCTTCAGAACTGCCTCAGTTCTTCGTGGCATAGATTCAACAAGGTGCTGGAAGCATTCCTCAGGGAGTTTGGTCCATATTGACATGATGGCATCACACAGTTGCCGCAGATTTGTCGGCTGCACATCCATGATGCGAATCTTCCGTTCCACCACATCCCAAAGATGCTCTATTGGATTGAGATCTGGTGACTGTGGAGGCCATTTGAGTACAGTGAACTCATTATCATGTTCAAGAAACCAGTCTGAGATGATTCCAGCTTTATGACATGGCGCATTATCCTGCTGAAAGTAGCCATCAGAAGTTGGGTACATTGTGGTCATAAAGGGATGGACATGGTCAGCAACAATACTCAGGTAGGCTGTGGTGTTGCAACGATGCTCAATTTGTACCAAGGGGCCCAAAGAGTGCCAAGAAAATATTCCCCACACCATGACACCACCACCACCAGCCTGAACCGTTGATACAAGGCAGGATGGATCCATGCTTTCATGTTGTAGACGCCAAATTCTGACCCTACCATCCGAATGTCGCAGCAGAAATCGAGACTCATCAGACCAGGCAACGTTTTTCCAATCTTCTATTGTCCAATTTTGATGAGCTTGTGCAAATTGTAGCCTCAGTTTCCTGTTCTTAGCTGAAAGGAGTGGCACCCGGTGTGGTCTTCTGATGCTGTAGCCCATCTGCCTCAAAGTTCGACGTACTGTGCGTTCAGAGATGCTCTTCTGCCCATCTTGGTTGTAACGGGTGGTTATTTGAGTCATTGTTGACCTTCTATGAGCTCGAACCAGTCTGGCCATTCTCCTCTGACCTCTGGCATCAACAAGGCATTTCCGCCCACAGAACTGCCGCTCACTGGATGTTTTTTCTTTTTCGGACCATTCTCTGTAAACCCTAGAGATGGTTGTGCATGAAAATCCCAGTAGATCAGCAGTTTCTGAAATACTCAGACCAGCCCTTCTGGCACCAACAATCATGCCACGTTCAAAGTCACTCAAATCACCTTTCTTCCCCATGTCATGTTGCGTTGGTTTCACTAGCCCATATGCAGACTCACAGACACAGAGGGAGGATAAAAGTCCAATATTTATTGGAAACCAGAGGAATCTTACAGGTTCAAGGCTCAGACAGGCATGGTGGCACAGGTAAGACACACGATCCAGCACAAAGAGAAAATCAGACACAGCTTAAATAGGGAGCTTCCTCAATCAGCAGACAGGAAAACAGCTGATGAAGCTGAGTCCAAGCTCCCCAAGGCTTGGATCCACGGCGCCCTCTGGTGGGCAAAGTCCCGGATCCTGACACCCCATACTGATGCTCGGTTTGAACTGCAGGAGATTGTCTTGACCATGTCTACATGTCTAAATGCACTGAGTTGCCCCCATGTGATTGGCTGCTTAGAAATTAAGTGTTAACGAGCAGTTGGACAGGTGTACCTAATAAAGTGGCCGGTGAGTGTATATTGTATTAGTTTATATATAAATGCTTAATACCATGTTTATCTTTTTTGAGGAAAAACAAATGTTTCGGCATGGAAAATTTATTTTACACATTTGTTATCACATTGTGTAAGAATCAAGGCGTTATGATTGGTGATTTAGCCATTATAGACCAGAGTTTAACTTCTTATGGTGTCATGATAGGCAGGATTTCTAGCCCAAATGCAGAACACACACACAGAGGCAGAAGAAAAGTCCAAAGGTTTATTGGATACAGGCAGGGTTCTTCCTGGAAGGCAGAGAGGACAAAACAGGTTAGGTTCTGGTCCAGGTTTCAGGTGAGGTCAGAGAGTCAGACAGGCAGGCTGGCTCAGGCTTGCTAACCATAACCAGTTCAACAATCTGGCAAGGAGTGAAGCTCTCTTCCAGCTTATGTAGGAAAACCTTAATGAGCTGATGGGGAACAGCTGCTACAGATGAGCACAAGCTCTCAGGAGAGGATCTACGGCGCCCTCTGGTGGGCAAGTCTCTGGATCCCAACCGACAGCAGGAACCCTCAGAAAGGGATCCATGTCGCCCTCTGGAGGGCAAACCTCTGGATCCCAACAGGCAGCAGGAACCCTCAGAAAGGGATCCACGTCGCTCTCTGGAGGGCAACCCTCTGGATCCCAACAGGCAGCAGAAACCCTCAGAAAGGGATCCACGTCGCTCTCTGGAGGGCAAACCTCTGGATCCCAACAGGCAGCAGGAACCCTCAGAAAGGGATCCACGTCGCCCTCTGGAGGGCAAACCTCTGGATCCCAACAGGCAGCAGAAACCCTCAGAAAGGGATCCACGTCGCTCTCTGGAGGGCAAACCTCTGGATCCCAACAGGCAGCAGAAACCCTCAGAAAGGGATCCACGTCGCTCTCTGGAGGGCAAACCTCTGGATCCCAACAGGCAGCAGGAACCCTCAGAAAGGGATCCACGTCGCCCTCTGGAGGGCAAACTTCTGGATCCCAACAGGCAGCAGAAACCCTCAGAAAGGGATCCACGTCGCTCTCTGGAGGGCAAACCTCTGGATCCCAACAGGCAGCAGAAACCCTCAGAAAGGGATCCACGTCGCTCTCTGGAGGGAAAACCTCTGGATCCCAACAGGCAGCAGGAACCCTCAGAAAGGGATCCACGTCGCTCTCTGGAGGGCAAACCTCTGGATCCCAACAGGCAGCAGAAACCCTCAGAAAGGGATCCACGTCGCCCTCTGGAGGGCAAACCTCTGGATCCCAACAGGCAGCAGGAACCCTCAGAAAGGGATCCACGTCGCCCTCTGGAGGGAAAACCTCTGGATCCCAACAGGCAGCAGAAACCCTCAGAAAGGGATCCACGTCGCTCTCTGGAGGGAAAACCTCTGGATCCCAACAGGCAGCAGGACCCCTCAGAAAGGGATCCACGTCGCCCTCTGGAGGGCAAACCTCTGGATCCCAACAGGCAGCAGAAACCCTCAGAAAGGGATCCACGTCGCCCTCTGGAGGGCAAACCTCTGGATCCCAACAGGCAGCAGGAACCCTCAGAAAGGGATCCACGTCGCCCTCTGGAGGGCAAACCTCTGGATCCCAACAGGCAGCAGGAACCCTCAGAAAGGGATCCACGTCGCTCTCTGGAGGGCAAACCTCTGGATCCCAACAGGCAGCAGGAACCCTCAGAAAGGGATCCACGTCGCCCTCTGGAGGGCAAACCTCTGGATCCCAACAGGCAGCAGAAACCCTCAGAAAGGGATCCACGTCGCCCTCTGGAGGGCAAACCTCTGGATCCCAACAGGCAGCAGGAACCCTCAGAAAGGGATCCACGTCGCTCTCTGGAGGGCAAACCTCTGGATCCCAACAGGCAGCAGGAACCCTCAGAAAGGGATCCACGTCGCTCTCTGGAGGGCAAACCTCTGGATCCCAACACATGGCACAAGGATTTTTTCATTCCAATTCTGAAAAGTGGTTGAAAATACAAAATTTGAATGTTTTTTTTTTGTACAAGAATGTTTTTTACTAGTCATTTATTGCTAAATTTCTTCTTAAACTGCCCAAATAACAGTTTCGTATTTAGGCAATTTTTAGGGGTGCTCAAGCATCCCTAAATCTTAGCTCAGCACCCCTGAAAAATTACCGATTCAGAATATTCCTGCGTGTCGGTTCGGCTCTGCCAGATGTGCATACATGCACAGGTTTGCCTGGAGCGCCTCCGTTTGAAGCACTCGGCGTCCCAACGGTTTCGTTTCAACACTGGTGTGCACCAGAGGGGGCGGGGCCTGGAGCTCCACAGAGCCAATCACTAACGCGTCTGGCATTTGATTGACAAGGTAGACACATCCCCAGCTAACTATTCTAACTATTGTCATCGTTCAGGTTTTACAAATGCACAAGGTTTTATCGAGTGAAAAATTTTAATCTCTTTGTCACTGCTTTTGAATGGGCCTATATTGTAGATTGTTTGACAAGCTTTAGCTCAAAAATGTGTCAACTCTAATCTTACATCTGGACTAAAAGTGGAATCACAGTCAACACTGGGGTCTGAGCACCCCTAATGGTCAGATCCTAGAATCGCCCCTGCCAAAGAGGCTTTTACATTTTTAAAAATAAAAAGATAAAATATATGATTCATTTATGATTAATCTTGAGTTAACAATTGAAATTATGTGATTTATTTCGTCCTCATCCACATGAGCAAAAATGTGGATTATCAATATGGGGGGTGGTGGCTTCATAGCCACGTGT